GGCTGAGAGGGGATATGATAGCCATGTATAAATATGTGAGAGGAAGCCACAGGGAGGAGGGAGCAAGCTTGTTTTCTGCTTCCATGGAGACTAGGACGCGGAACAATGGCTTCAAACTACAAGAGAGGAGATTCCATCTGAACATGAGGAAGAACTTCCTGACTGTGAGAGCTGTTCAGCAGTGGAACTCTCTGCCCCAGAGTGTGGTGGAGGCTACTTCTTTGGAAGCTTTTAAACAGAGGCTGGATGGCCATCTGTCAGGGGTGATTTGAATGCAATATTCCTGCTTCTTGGCAGGGGGTTGGACTGGATGGCCCATGAGGTCTCTTCCAACTCTTTGATTCTATGATTCTATGATTCTATGACTGGTGCGAGTGTTGACTATAGACAGCAGTATAACATTCATTTCAATTGGTTCAATCCGAGGATGTGGACAAGGTGCTTGGAGGAATGAGAGCTACCACATGCATCCTAGACCCCTGCCCATCCTGGCTTCTAAAGGAGGCCAGAGGGGGTTTGGCCGAGTGGGTGAAGGTGGTGGTGAATGCCTCCCTTCGGGAAGGCAAAATTCCAGCCAGCTTAAAGCAAGCTGTAATAAAACCGCTGTTGAAGAAGCCATCACTAGACCCCACTCAATTCGTCAACTTTCGGCCTGTTTCCAATCTCCCCTTTTTGGGCAAAGTCATGGAACGTGTGGTGGCCTCACAACTCCAGGCATTCTTGGTAGACACGGATTATCTGGATCTGGCACAGTCTGGCTTTAGGCCGGGGCATGGTACCGAGACAGCCTTGGTCGCCTTAGTGGATGATCTGCGTCGGGAGCTCGACAGGGGGAGTGTGTCCCTGTTGGTGCTGCTCGACCTCTCAGCGGCCTTCGATACCGTCGACCACGGTATCCTTCTGGGACGCCTCGCGGGGATGGGTCTTGGAGGTACTGTTCTGCAGTGGCTCCGCTCATTCCTCGAGGGTCGGTCTCAGAAGGTGTTACTGGGAGACTCCTGTTCAACCCCACAACCTTTGTCTTGTGGGGTTCCTCAGGGTTCAATACTGTCTCCCATGTTGTTTAACATCTACATGAAGCCGCTGGGCGAGATCATCCGGAGTTTCGGAGTGAGATGTCATCTGTACGCAGATGATGTCCAACTCTGTCACTCCTTTCCACCTGCTACTAAGGAGGCTGTCAAAGTCCTGAACCGGTGCTTGGCCGCTGTGACGGTCTGGATGGGAGCGAACAAATTGAAATTGAATCCAGACAAGACAGAGGTACTCCTGGTTAGTCGTAAGGCTGAACAGGGTATTGGATTACAGCCTGTGTTGGATGGGGTCGCACTCCCCCTGAAGACACAGGTTCGCAGCTTGGGGGTGATCCTGGACTCATCGCTGAGCCTGGAACCCCAGGTTTCGGCGGTGACCAGGGGAGCCTTCGCACAGTTAAAACTTGTGCGCCAACTGCGACCGTACCTTGGGAAGTCTGACTTAGCCACGGTAGTCCACACTCTAGTTACATCCCGCCTTGATTACTGCAACGCTCTCTACGTGGGGTGCCTTGAAGACGGCCCGGAAGCTCAATTAGTCCAACGGGCGGCAGCCATGATTTTAACAGGAGTGGAGCGCAGGGAGCATACAACCCTTTAATCACATTCGTTAAATTCCATTGAGTCCTACACTTAAAATCCGGTAACTCACTGTGTTCATCCGAACTTATCTATCCGAACGTATCTCAGCCTATCAGCCCACCAGGACCCTAAGATCTTCCGGAGAGTCTCTTCTCTCTATCCCTCCAGCTTCAGAAGTGCGGCTGGCGGGAACGAGAGATAGGGCCTTCTCTGTGGTGGCCCCCCGGCTTTGGAACGCCCTCCCTATAGAGATACGATCAGCCTCTTCTCTGATGGCATTTAGGAAGAAACTTAAAACATGGTTATTCAAACAAGCCTTCAGCTAATCTGTGGAAACCGATTCGAATCTAGGTGACCTTGGACAGATATATGGACAACGAATTGTGGACTGTGATTCAACTTGAGACATATGGGATTATTATTGGTGGCCCAATAATTTGCTATTGTAATTTGTATTTGTATTTTGTATATGTTTTTAAACTGGAGATTGATTTTAAATGCTGTAAACCGCAACTGAGTCGCCGATCCAGGCTGAGAAGTTAGCGGTATATAAGTGTACCAAATAAATAAATAAATAAATAAATAAACAAGGCAATTCGAAAAATGATGAAAAAAAATCTAAGGCTGAGTGAAGGAACGTATCTCTTGCTACAATCCACCTAGGACCCTAAAATCATCCGGAGAGGCCCTGCTCATTGTCCCCCCATTATCGCAATCGTGTTTGGTGGGGGACAAGAGACAGGGCTTTTTTTGTGGTGGCCCCTCAGCTCTGGAACTCCCTCCCAAGTGAAATTAGATCTGCTCCATCTCTCCTGACCTTTTGGAAATCCTGGTTATGGGATCAGGCCTTTGCAGACTAGGCTGACTCACTGGCAAAGCAATGGTTTTAATGGACTTGACGGACTGCTTTTAGGACGATGACTTAAATTGGCGATTGACTGAATGTTTTTATACTGTTTTTATATTGTTTTTTATTTAGGTAAAGGTAAAGGTAGTCCCCTGACATTAAGTCCAGTCATGTCTGACTCTGGGGTGTGGTGCTCATCTCCATTTCTAAGCCGAAGAGCCAGCGTTGTCCGTAGACACCTCCAAGGTCATGTGGCCGGCATGACTGCATGGAGTGCCGTTACCTTCCCGCCAGAGCGGTACCTATTGATCTACTCACATTTGCATGTTTTCAAACTGCTAGGTTGGCAGAAGCTAGGGCTGACAGCGGAAGCTCACGCAGCTCCCCGGAATCAGACCTGCGACCTTTCGATCAACAAGCTCAGCAGCTCAGTGCTTTAACCCACTGCGCCACTGCATTTATGCTTTTGGTTGTGGGCGTCATGGTGTGCCAGTTGTTGGCCGCCCTGAGTCCCTCTGCGGAGGTCGAGATAGGATGGGATATAAATGTCTGGAATAAATAATTAAATCAATAACCCATTGCACCACCATGGCTGATACGATATTTCAAATCAACTGGTTTGGGACCCACCTACCTTCGTGACCGTATCTCTCTCCATGTACCAACGCGGGCCCTTCGATCTTCGGGGGAGGTCCTTCTCTCACTCCTCACAATCTCATCTTGCGGGTACAAGGGAGAGAGCCTTCTCCTCTGTGGCTCCCCGACTTTGGAACTCTTTGCCTGGAGAGATCAGGAAGCCCTCTTCACTAGAAATGTTCAAAAAGAACCTTAAAACCTGGCTCGTCTGCTGCGCCTTTTGTGAGTAGGTGCACACCATGACATTTTGCACCCTTCAACGTTCTTTTTCTGCTATTGGAGCTTGCGCCCTCCAAATGAGAAGTTAACCTCATAACTGTTTTTGAGTTCCCTGTAAATGTCCTGCTCCTATTTTTATCTCATTTTTATCTCATTACAGTCTTAATTGTTTTATATTGTATATGTGGCCTGCCCATTGTTATCGTTATTGTGATTAGAATGTTATTTTGTGACTGCGTTTTTTTAAATGCAATTTTGATGATGTTGTTGTTGCTTTTGTTTATGCTTTGATTTTATTGCTGTAATATGTTGTCTGGGCTTGGCCGCATGTAAGCTGCTCCGAGTCCCCACCGGGGAGATGGTGGCGGGGTATAAATAAAGATTATTATTATTATTATTATTATTATTATTATTATTATTATTGGTTTAAAATTTATTTTCGGTTACTTTTGTCTCTCAAATTGCATGGTACCATGAAGCTCAGTGCGCCACCATTAAGACTCGTGCGCCAACTGTGACCATACCTCGTGAAGGCGGATCTGGCCAGGGTGGTCCATGCCTTAGTCACTTCCAGATTGGACTACTGTAATGCACTCTACGTGGGGCTGCCCTTGAAAACGGCCCGGAAATTCCAATTGGTCCAACGGGCGGTGGCCAGGTTGTTAACTGGTGCTCCTTACAGGGAGAGGTCAACACTCCTGTTTAAGGAGCTCCACTGGCTGCCATTCATTTTCCGGTCCCAATTCAAGGTGCAGGTGCTTACCTACAAAGCCCTAAATGGTTTGGGACCTGCCTACCTGCGTGACCGCATCTCTGTGTACGAACCCACACGATCTCTTCGTTCATCTGGAGAGGCCCTACTCACAATCCCACCAGCATCGCAAGCACGATTGGTGGGGACGAGGGATAGGACTTTCTCTGTAGTGGTTCCTCGACTCTGGAACTCTCTCCCTACGGACATCAGGCAGGCCCTGTCACTAGCAATCTTTAGGAGGAGCTTGAAAACGTGGTTGTTCCAGTGTGCCTTCCCAGAATAAGGAAACTCCTAGCATTATGTCCCAATGCACTTTATCAGAGATCCAGGATATCTGCATGCCAATCCCCCCTCCCCCCCCAAACACTCCACCTGGTCATGCCCAGCACTTTTAATTTTAATTATTACGTTTGGCCCGGCCATTGTTTTTAATTGCCTCATTGGGTGTTGTTAATGTTATTGCTTTGTTTTTTGAGTTATTGTGTTGTTATTATTGCTGCTGTTTTTATTGTTGTATTTGGGCTCATCCTCTTGTAAGCCACACCGAGTCCTTCGCGAGATGGTAGCGGGGTACAAATAAAGGATTATTATTATTATTATTATTATTATTATTATTATTATGTGCAATGTATCCCAATGCACAGCGGCCTCAATGTAGCACAACCACCTCAAATTGCAACGTGCCCCAATGCACAACATATTCAATTGAACAGCGAGAGCCCTCTTTGTCCAAAGGAACATCTTGCACAATGATCTCCGCAATTCACTAGCATGGTTTTATTTATGTTCTTTGCAACGTGTTTTTTGGACAAATGTCAGTGAAAAGGCAAAGCCAAGACATTGGAAATTTAACAAAACCATCCGATTTTGTCACATGGTAACTTTTCGCCCCCATAGGTACCGTCTTAGAAACAAACAAAGAACAATGTTTCATAGAAAAACAAATACTTTTAATGGTTGTTTATGAAAAATAATACATTTCGAAACTGTACATACAAAATAATTCAGTGTCTTCCTACCTTCTTGCACAAGAGAAGGGTCTCAGAGCCAATGAAAAGAAAAGACGCAGCATGAAAATGGTTAGGAGGAAAATAGTCCAAATCCACAGACTGTTAGTATCTATAAGTATAAATTATGTACTATAGGTATATTTATCAAAGGAACAAAAAGACAGAGAGTTGCTGATTAAATGTAATAATTGCACAATATGTATGGAAATGTTGAAGGCGCCCTTCCTCCTTTTTACGATAGCCTGAACCAAGGTTACTTCATATATACAGGTCAGTTGTACAAGCTCTTTTTATTGTGTCAGAGGCAAATTGGAGTTGCTGTAGGTGTGAGAGGATTTGCCGTCAGCAAGGACATTGCCCAGGGGACACCTGGATGTCTCACCATCCTGTAGGAGGCTTCTCTCATGTCCCCACATGGGAAGCTGGAGCTGACCAACGGGAGCTCACCCTGTCTTGTGGATTCAAATTGCCGACCTTCAGATCTTTGGGTCAGCAGTTCAGCCGGCACAAGGGTTTAACCCTTTGCGCCATGGGAGCATTGTCCCTAAACTGGGAAAGTGGATTAGATGCATTTCCCAAGTGGATCACAAGGAGGCAGAACATACCAAGTAATCCATTTACTGATTCAAAAATAGCAGGTATAAATTTTCAAATTTTAGCACATGGGGTCCAAGTTTATCATAAGATAAGATCATTTAGGTGATACAAAAGGCTGAAGTGCTACAAGAGATAGCATATTCCGCTGGCATTGTGTAGGGCGGTTGCATTATTGTAACTGACACAGTTATGTAAAGCTGAATTGCATTGTTGCACAACATTCATATTCTCAAAAGAGGTGTGCAAGTAGAGCCAGTAGTATGGCCATTGCACAAGAGTACTGATGCATAATGTGCCATGATGTGCAATGTATCCCAATGCACAACAGCCTCAATGTACCACAACCATCTCAAATTGCAATGTGACCCAATGCACAGCATATTCAATTGAACAGCAGGAGCCCTCTTTGTGCAAGGGGACAATTCACTAGCATGGTTGCGTATAATGTCAGTAATATACAGTCACCACCATAATGCAACATACCATAGCCTCTTTCTGGACTACAGCTCCCAGAAACTCTCTAGTTTCAACTTTTGGAGCTTTGGGCTCTAACTTTCCCAAGCTCTGATTCAGAGCAAGATGGGAAAAACTTGTTTCCATTCCTCTCATCTTCTCATCTTTCTAGTTTCAGATTTCTTCTACCCAACTTCTACAATGGTTTTGACTTAAAATAAGAAGTCTGCATGAAATTTCACATGCATTTCCAAGCATATATCTCCTAATATACACATTTGTGCACATAACCTTCTCTACTGCTTCGGCAAACATTTTCTTTCACATATTGTTTTGGTACATTTCCCTCAATATTATATGTGCCTTTACGTACTATTTTAAAAAACTTGGAGAACTGCATCCCAAAATTTGGAGATGTATTTTAGTACTGAAAGAAAATGGCATTTTGTTTCCTATACTGATGTGAGAAATGTGTGTTTGGTCAAAATAAAAACATCAGCAAATGTACCTCCGAAACCATACTTCAAAGGTTGCCCATACAAGACCCAAAAAGGTTGCCGCACAGGACCAAAGTATGTTCGCAGATATATTTCTCTGACATCTCTTTGAAGCACAATGCATTGCAAAACGGACTATAAAAACCTTTTTGTGAGACTTACAGCTTTAATTTGTTTTAAATGGTAAGAACTGGTGGCTTCCTCTGGAAAGTCTAAGGCCCCTTCTATAGGTAAAGGTAAAGGTTTTCCCCTGACATTAAGTCCAGTCATGTCCAACTCTGGGGGTTAGTTGGTGCTCATCTCCATTTCTAAACCGAAGAGCCAGCATTGTCCGTAGACACCTCCAAGGTCATGTGGCCAGCACGACTGCATGGAGTGCAGTTACCTTCCTGCCAGAGTGGGACCTATTGATCTACTCACATTTGCATGTTTGAGAACTGCTAGGTTGGCAGAAGCTGGGGCTGACAGTGGAAGCTCATGCTGCTCTCCGGATTTGAACTTGCGACCTTTCGGTCAACAAGTTTAGTAGCTCAGTGGTTTAACCCGGGAGCTCCTAAGGCCCCTTCTATACTTCCATATAAAATCCAGATTATCTTCTTTGAACTGTATTATATGGCACTGTAGACTCAGGTAATCCAGTTCAAAGCAGATAATATGGATAATCTACTTTGATAATCTGGATTATATGTCAGTGTAGAAGGGGCCTAAGAGACCAGGAAAAATCTATGGTATGGGGATGACTTGGTTTGGCTTAGAAATGAAACAATCACATCTAAACTCATTCTTGGTGATGATGCGCATTGATGCCTTTGGATAAATTATAGATATCCTACACAGTTGTTGTAAGGATCAACCCCAAATCCAAGACTTCAAGGGAACACTCAAAATACATATATCATATACAGACATTCTGCCAATTCCTGCCACCAAAATCCTAGCCTGAGACTCTATCTGGGAAATCACCAGAGAGATGCATTTTCTCTAAATGCGAATAGATCCAACAGTTGCCAAAAGAGACAAGGCTCGTCAGCCGAGCCCTATAACCCAGAATATCAAGGCAGAAAATTCCACATTACCTGCTTTGAACTGGGTTATTTGAGTCCACACTGCCATATATTCCAGTTCATAGCAGAAAATGTGGGATATTATTCAGCTGTGTGGAAGGAGCCTATGTCTCAGTCTAAAGGTGACTATCACTTTACTTGAGCTTGATTGATCCTTGGAGTAACCCAGGCTATTATGCTGAATCTGTGGGCTAGCCTAGGTTCTGGAACACACAAGGGTTCTTGGAGACATTTTCAAAGCTTACTTCAGACTAGATTTCAAGAATCCCTGACTAGTTTGGAACCACCACTTGGTTGTGCCCACTGCTTGAAAGGGAACCAAAGTCAACAGAATAAAGCCATTAGGTAATTGGGTTGTTGTAGGTTTTTCAGGCTATATGGCAATGTTCTAGAGGCATTCTCTCCTGATATTTCGCCTGCATCTATGGCAAGCGTCCTCAGAGGTAGTGAGGTCTGTTGGAACTAGAAAAGTGGGTTTATATATCTGTGGAATGACCAGGGTAGGACAAAGAACTCTTGTCTGTTGGAGCTAGGTGTGAATGTTTCAACTGACCACCTTGATTAGCATTTGATGGCCTGGCAGTGCCTGGGGCAATCTTTTGTTGAGAGGTGATTAGATGTCCTTGTTTGTTTCCTCTCTGTTGTTTTTTTGTTGTAATTTTAGAGTTTTAAATACTGGTAGCCAGATATTGTTCATTTTCATGGTTTCCTCTTTTCTGTTGGATGAGAATGCCTCTAGAACAGTGTTTCTCAACCTGGGGGTCGGGACCCCTGAGGGGTCGCGAGGGAGTGTCAGAGGGGTCACCAAAGACCATAAGAAAACACAGCATTTTGTGATAGTCATGGGGATTCCATGTGGGAAGTTTGAGCCAATTCTATCGTTGGTGGAGTTCAGAATGTTCTTTGATTGTAATGAACTATAAATCCCAGCAACTACAACTCCCAAATGTCAAGATCTATTTTCCCCAGATTCCACCAGTGTTCACATTTGGGCATATTGAGTATTCATTCCAGGTTTGGTCCAGATCCACCGTTGCGTGAGTCCACAGTGCTCTCTGGATATAGGTGAACTACAACTCCCAAACTCAAGGTCAATGCCCATCAAACCCTTCCAGTGTTTTCCATTGGTCATGGGAGCCAAGTTTGGTTGAAATCCATTGCTGGTAGAGTTCAGACTGCTCTTTGATTATAAGTGAACTATAAATCCCAGCAACTACAACTCCCAAATTACAAAATCAATCCTCCCCCAACCCCACTAGCATTCACATTTGGGTGTATTGGGTATTTGTGCCCAGTTTGGCCCAGTGAATGAAAATACACCCTGCATATCAGATGTTTACATTATGATTTATAACAGTTGTAAAATGACTGTTATGAAGTAGCAACGAAAATAATGTTATGGTTGGGGGTCACCACAACATGAGGGTCACGGCATTAGGAAGGTTGAGAACCACAGCTCTAGAACATGGCCATATAGCCCGAAAAAACCTACAACAACCCATTGATTCCGGCCATGAAAGCCTTCAACAATACATTAGGTAATTGCTCAGCGAGCTGGTGAGCCCTTTTCTCTGGATGTCTTCAAAAAGAGGTTGGACAACAAGGGACATCTGGGAATGTTTTAGCTGGAGATCCTACAGCAAGGTTTGGGACTAGATGGCACATGAGGCATCTTCCAACTCCACAATTCTATGACCTTATGACTCTGGACCATATCACAACTTATAACCAATTTAATAGTAATATGAACTTCAAAATATAGAGCTATACATAACATGGTAAGCATGACATGTAACCCAAATGATGGAAAGGATAAACATCGGCATGGAGATTTTCCACATGATTGTGCCAAGAGATGGAGTGAGAAATTTTCCAATACAAGCTTAGGTGAAATTCTGACACAAAGAACTATTTTAGTCTTGTGGGGATAGATTTCCATGGTAACATACCATTTCCACCATCCAGTTTTACTCAACCTTGATCTCTGTGTGTGAAATCCAGATTTGGGATTGAAGATAAAAGAGTTAACAGGTCTATTCTGTTGTGAACCGCCGTGAGTCGCCTTCGGGCTGAGAACAGCGGTATATAAGCAAAGTAAATATTCCCCAGCCCTTTCTTCCAAGCCAAGGCAACTAATCCCAGCCCTTTTCCCCCCAATAACAAGATATAAATGCAATGCAAAGGGGAAAGAAAGAAATCATTTGTATTTCTTTATGAAAACACAGTCTCTGCTGTCACGTCGGCTCCTGGAGGGGATAGGGGCATGGATGGGATTGGTGCATTAAGAGGGAAAGCAAATTCTGAAAGGTAACAGAAGATGATTGGTTACAAAAAGCCCATCTCCAAAGATGTCCCATTGGATGGAGAAGCTATGAAAATGGTTCTTTTGGAGGACACACCCACAAACGCTCACACACTGGCACTCTGAAGGCAGACGGAAAGGCAGGCAGCACGGAGCAAGCGTTTCCAGTCTTTCTGCTTCGTGTGGGAGTGGTAGAGCGGCTTGCTGCACAGCGTACTGCAAAAGTCTCTGAACATTCACACCAAGGATCCTGCTTGGCTCTGTGCAGGCACCATGACGGGCACCGCCCCCATTCGGCCCAGGGTGGACGTGCTGAGCCCCTGAGGGGCAGCAGCCTCCTGATGTCGGGGGGCTTGCGGTTGCGCCCCATTTGTCCTGTGGAGAGTGCTCCGGTGGGTTGGCACATTGACATGGTGGCAATGGACCCCATTGACCATGGGCGGAAAGTAGAGGGGCAACGATTGGCTGGAGAGGCTGGGTGTTGGTGTGAGTGTTCCACTCCTGGGGTTGCTGAAAGGCGGCTTGAAGCCCACTGTGCTGCCCGTGGCAGTGGTGATGGACGCCGTGTCTGAGGCAGGCTTGGAGGCATAGAGTTTGTGATCCCGGGTGGTACTCAGAGATGACAAAGTGCCATTTTTGGAAACCACGTCAGAACCAGGGCCTTTTGCCCAGGAAAGTGTCTTTGGGGCAACAGCATCTTCCCTGCAAGAGGAGAGAGAGCGAACGTTAGATGATGAGTGAGAAGCATACCTGTCCGAACGTATCTCCTTCTACATCCCACCTCGGAGTTTAAGATCTTCTGGGGAGATTCTGCTCTCAGCCCCGCCTCTGTCTCAAACAGGCTTAGCGGGGACAAGGGACAGTGTTGCAGCTCAGAATAGTCACCTTGCTCCAAACACCAAACCACACAAAGGCTGAAGATTTTGTAGTTTAGTGAAGAAAGGGAAAGTCTTAAATGCAAAAGTAAGTTTCAAAAGTTCAATAGCAAACAGCATAAAGCATAATCCAAAGAACATTGATCAAACAAGATTCCGTGACAGCAAGACAGAGTCCCAGGAAGCCAAGAACATTGCCCAAAAGTCAAGGCAATCCAAAGAAGTTACCAAGTTAACACTTTGAAAAACAAGCCCTTGAAACAGCAACCAAAAAGCCCACAATATGGTTCAGATATGTGGATGACACCTTCACTATTTGGAGCCGTGGAGAAGAAGAACTCAACAGGTTCCTGGAACATCTTAACAGCATCCACCCAAACATCCAATTCACCATGGAAAAAGAAAATGAAGGAAGACTGCCTTTTCTAGATGTCCTAGTCATCCGCAAACCAGATCAACCATTGGGTCACACCGTTTACAGAAAACCCACACACACGGATAGATATCTACATAAAAACTCCAACCATCACCCAAGTCAAAAAAGAAGCACAATTAAAGCCTTGGCAGACCGTGCAAAAATAATCTGCGAACCCCACCTCCTCCAAGATGAACTGAACCACCTCAACTGGGCTCTACAGGCCAATGGATACTCCACCTCAGACATCAGAAGAACTGCAAGACCGAGAACAAACCGAACAAACCACGAGAGTAAAGATGAAGATCCACCCAGAGGAAAAGTGTTCTTGCCATACATCAAGGGAACCACTGACCGCATAGGAAAACTGATGAGGAAACACAACATACAAACCACTTACAGACCCACCAAGAAAATCCAACAAATGCTACGTTCAGCAAAGGACAAGAGGGATCCTCTCACCTCTGCAGGAGTCTACCGTGTACCATGCAGCTGTGGACAAGTCTACATAGGGACCACCAAATGCAGCGCCCAGACACGCATCAAGGAACATGAAAGGCACTGCAGACTACTCCAACCAGAGAAATCAGCCATAGCAGAGCACCTGATGAACCAACCTGGACACAGCATATTATTTGAGAACACAGAAGTGCTGGACCACTCTCACAATGTCAGACTACACAGAGAAGCCATTGAAATCCACAAGCATGTGGACAATTTCAACAGAAAGAGGAAACCATAAAATGAACAAAATCTGGCTACCAGTATTAAAGGACTCAAAAATCACAACAGCAAAACAACAGAGGGGAAACAAACAGGCACATAAAATCACTCTCAACAAGGGATTCCCCCCGGGCACTTCCAAGCCATTGAATGCTAATCAAGGTGATCAGCTGAAACATTCACACCTAGCCCCAGCAGACAAAAGTCCTTTGTCTCACCCTGGTCATTCCACAGATATATAAACCCATTTTTCCTACTTCCAACAGACCTCACTACCTCTGAGGATGCTTGCCATAGATGCAGGCAAAACGTCAGGAGAAAAATTGCCTCCAGAATATGGCCATATAGCCCGGAAAAACTTACAACAACCCAGTTACCAGGTTGTTCGCAGAAGTTGTACTGACAAAGATTTGCCTTTAAACACCCCATTTAATATACTTTCCCAGCATGAACGCATTCCGTTGACCCCTAACCTAGCCAAGACCCCTGACTTGGCCACGGTAGTCCATGCTCTGGTTACATCCTGTATAGACTACTGCAACGCCCTCTATATGGGGTTGCCTTTGAAGACTGCTCGGAAGCTTCAACTGTCCATCGTTCAGCAGCCAGGTTGCTAACAGGAGCGACACTCAGGTAGCATACGACTCCTCTGTTGCGCCAGCTCCACTGGCTGCCAGTTTGCTACCAGGCACAATTCAAAGTGCTGGTGTTAGCCTATAAAGCCCTAAACGGTTCTGGCCCTACTTACCTCTCCAAACGCATCTCCTCCTATGAACCGACTAGGACACTAAGATCATCTGGGGAGGCCCTGCTCTCGGTCCCGCCTGCATCACAGGCGCGCTTGGCAGGGACGAGAGACAGGGCCTTCTCAGTGGTGGCCCCTCGGCTGTGGAACGCCCTGCCTGCAGATATCAGATCAGCCCCCTCCCTGCTGGCGTTTCGGAGGAAAGTGAAGACCTGGCTGTTCAAACAAGCATTTGATTAAACAGTGTAATTGAACATAGGAATACGGAATAATGGATGATGAGACTGGATTCTGATTTTACTGTTGAGGCGCTAATGATTGTTATACTGATGTTTAATGATTTATGTTACAATTGTTTTTAATTGCCCTATACTTGTCTCGTGATGTTTTGTATCAATGTTGTTCACCGCTTTGAGTCGCCTGAGGGCTGAGAAAAGCGGTATATAAATAAAGTAAATAAATAAATAACCTCCCTCTTGTTAGCAAGCTTCGCATTGCAGCAAACTTTGAATTGTAAGCGATCCTCCCTATCTAAATCTTCATAGCTTTCAAGGTCAGATAGCTCGTTAGGTGCCTGAGAATTGTCAGGCTGGGAGCCATCCTCCTCAATCTGCACCTGGATAGTTTCACTAGCATCGGAAACATCATTTGAAACATTCCTTGCCATGGGAAACTGAATCTCGTCAGATTCTTCTTCAAAAACAACAGGAACACCTTCATGAATCTGAATCCCAGCTGAGCCACAACAGACAGGGCCTTCTCAGTGGTGGCCCCCCTGCCTGTGGAACTCACTCCCTGGGGAAATTAGGTCATCTTCATACCTCCTCACCTTTAGAAAAAAGTTTTAAAAGGTGGATGTGGGACCAGGCCTTTGGGTAATTAAGCAGACAATGACAATGGCAATATTGGCAATGGCTTGAAAATGGATTATTGATAAATTTGATAGAGCATGCAACCAAAGTTTTCAGCTAATAATGATCACCAGAGTGATAATTCTTAGTAGATTTTATTTATTTATTTATTTATTTACTTTATTTATATTACTTTTCTCAGCTCTCAGGCGACTCAAAGCGGTGAACAACATCGATACAAAACATCATGAGACAAGTATAGGGCAATTCAAAACAATTGTAACATTAATAATTAAACATCCGTATAACAATCATTAGTGCCTCAACAGTAAAATCAGAATCCAGTCTCATTATCCATTATTCCGTATTCCTATGTTCAATTACACTGCTTAATCAAATGCTTGTTCAAACAGCCAGGTCTTCACTTTCCTCCAGAACGCCAGCAGGGAGGGGGTCGATCTGATATCTGCAGGCAGGGCGTTCCACAGCCGAGGGGCCACCACTGAGAAGGCCCTGTCTCTCGTCCTCGCAAAGCGCTCCTGTGATGCAGGAGGGACAGAGAGTAGGGCCTCCCCAGATGATCTTAGTGTCCTAGCCGGTTCATAGGAGGAGATGCATTCGGAGAGGTATAGGGCCAGAACCGTTTAGGGCTTTATAGGCTAACGACAGCACTTTGAATTGTACCCAGTAGCAAACTGGCAGCCAGTGGAGCTGGCGCAACAGAGGAGTAGTATGCTCCCTGAGTGCCGCTCCTGTTAGCAACCTGGCTGCCGAACACTGGACCATTTGAAGCTTCCGAGCAGTCTTCAAAGGCAACCCCACGTAGAGAGCGTTGCAGTAGTCTATACGGGATGTAACCAGAGCGTGGACTACCGTGGCCAAGTCAGACTTCCCAAGGTACGGGCGCAGCTGGCGCACAAGTTTTAACTGTGCAAATGCTCCCCTGGTCACCGCCGAAACCTGGGGTTCCAGGCTCAGCGATGAGTCCAGGATCACACCCAAACTGCGAACCTGTGTCTTCAGGGGGAGTGCCCCATACAACACAGGCTGTAACCCTATGCCCTGTTCGGCCTTGCGACTGACCAGGAGTACCTCTGTCTTGTCTGGATTCAATTTCAATTTGTTCGCCCTCATCCAGACCGTCACAGCGGCCAAGCACCGGTTCAGGACCTGGACAGCCTCCTTAGTAGCAGGTGGAAAGGAGTGACAGAGTTGGACATCATCCGCGTACAGATGACACCGTACCCCGAAACTCTGGATGATCTCCCCCAGCGGCTTCATGTAGATGTTAAACAACATGGGAGACAATATTGATCCCTGTGGGACCCCACAAGACAATGGTTGTGGGGCAGAACAGGAGTCCCCCAGCAACACCTTCTGAGATCGACCCTTTAGGAAGGACTGGAGCCACTGCAGAACAGTGCCTCCAAGGCCCATTCCCGCGAGGCGTCCCAGAAGGATACCGTGGTGCATTGCCCCCCGCCCCCACACACAAGGGGTTGAGAAGGATGGAATAAAAATATTCTAAATAAATAAATAAATAAAATAAGAAGGTTAGGATGGGTGTGTTCCTTACATCTGTCTTATTGTGTGTCAAACGTCTGGCAACTCACCGGATTTCATTAGCCATTTCCTCTTGGGCCTCTTTTTTCCTCTTTCGATAAGCCATCATCTGAAGCAGAAACAAGATGATCAGGCCAAGTCCAATGAGAGTTCCCACCACTGCACCAGCCACCACCGCTGCATTGAACGCTGCAAACGGAGCCACAACAGAGAAGATAAGGGAAGAAAAAGATTGTTAGAGAAGAAGATAAAATATTCCATAACCAGATCCAGAACCATACAATGGCTCAGTAACTCCACAAGGCTGGATATATGCTCTCTTATTCAGTTCAGACACGCACTGACATTATGTGATGACCCACAGCTGTATAGGTTCATGTAGGCATTTGTCCCTTTGACTGAAATATCAGGCTTATAGAACCATGGAATTATAGAGTTGGAAGAGACTATATGGGCTATCTAGTCCAACTCCCTACTACAGTGGTTCTCAACCTGGGGCCCCCAGATGTTTTTAGCCTACAATTCCCAGAAATCCTAACAATTGGTAAACTGACTGGGATTCCTGGGAGTTGTAGACCAAAAACATCTGGGGACCCAAGATTGAGAAGCACTGCCCTACTATGCACAATCTGTTCACCAAATTGGGTTGCCAACTTATTTATCAGCCAACCAGCTGTACCCGCCATGATTTGCTGTGACCAACCTTCCCTCCCTCTATCTCTCCTTCTTTCTTTCCCTCATTCCTTCCCTTTTTAGTATCTTTTTGCTTTTTAGACTTTTTGAGTCCTTTCTGCCATGCTTTCCAGTGTTTTTATAAGTGATGGTCACTTATTGGCCTGAGAGGTGTATTGTGTCCAAATTTGGTGTCAATTCGTCCAGTGGTTTTTGAGTTATGTTAATCTTACAAACGAATCATAACATTTTTTTTATATAGATTAGCTGTCCCCTACCACGCGTTGCTGTGGCCCAGTCTGGTGATCTGGAAAATAAAGTAATGTGAAAGTGTTGGTTTCCAATATATGCAATTTCTTTATTCTTGTGGGTAAACAGTATTTCTTGTATTGTCGAAGGCTTTCATGGCTGGAATCACTAGGTTCTTGTGGGATTTTTTCGGGCTATAGGGCCATGTTCTAGAGGCAATTCTCCTGACGTTTCGCCTGCATCTATGGCAAGCATCCTCAGAGGTAGTGAGGTCTGTTGGAATTAGGACAATGGGTTTATATATCTGTGGAATGGCTGGGGTGGGGCAAAGAGCTCTTCTCTGCTGGAGCTAGGTGTGAATGTTTCAACTGACCACCTTCATTAGCATTTGAAGGCCTGGCTGAGCCTGGGAAAATCTTTTGTTGAGAGGTGTTAAGATGTGCCTGGTTGTTTCCTCTCTGTTTTGCTGTTGTAATTTTAGGTTTTTTTTTAATACTGGTAGCCAGATTTTGTTCATTTTCATGGTTTCCTCCTTTCTGTTGAAATTGTCCACATGCTTGTGGATTTCAATGGCTTCTGTGTAGTCTGACATGGTGGTTGTTGGTGTGGTCCAGCATTTCTGTGTTCTCAAATAATATGCTGTGTCCAGGCTGGTTCATCAGGTGCTCTGCTATGGCTGACTTCTCTGGTTGAAGTAGTCTGTAGTGCCTTTCATGTTCCTTGATTCGTGTTTGGGCACTGCGTTTGGTGGTCCCTATGTAGTAAAGAGATGAAGGTCCACCCAGAGGAAAAGTGTTCCTGCCATACATCAAGGGAACCACTGATCGCATAGGGAAGCTGATGAGGAAACACAACATACAATCTACAGACCCACCAAGAAAATCCAACAAATGCTACGTTCAGCAAAGGAAAAGAGGGATCCTCTCACCTCTGCAGGAGTCTACCGTACACCATGCAGCTGTGGACAAGTCTACATAGGGACTTGTCCACAGCTGCATTGGGTGTGTAGGTGTCTTGTGGTCAAATTTGGTGTAAATTCCCCCAGTGGTTTTTGAGTTCTGTTAATACCACAAACGAACATTACATTTTTATTTATATAGATAACAACTATTCAAATACAGATAAACACATCATTAGCTAAAGCAAATAACCAAGCTAAACACACACAAGGCTCAATTGATCTCCAACTCAAAAGAAATTAAAATAGAATACTAGAAACAAATTTGGGTGGCAAGGAGTGCAGAAAGAGCAGGCCCATCCTGCTTTGCCAGAAGGTGCCGCTTGCTGGAGTGGTGGGGATTCAAAGCTTTTCTCTTGACACCAGTCATTCTGTTCTGCTATGAGGAATGTTCCTGAGCTGAACCTGTCTGCATTGTAATAGCAGTCAAAAGCATCTGCCAAGCTTCACAGAAACATAGACTAGCACTTGATACCAAATCAAGCCATTTGTTCTCCCAAGCCTGTACTTTTGACATGTGAATTGCTAAATGGAAGTTTGATGGCAGAAGGTAGCATTTCCTGTCTTCCTAGCTGATCCTTAAAAGTGTGAAGAGAAATGCATTTGGAAAAGCAAATGATTATGGAAGGGCAAAACACCCTATAGCAGCTTTTCTCAACCTGGGGGTCGGGACCCCTGGGAAGGGTCGCAAGGGAGTTGTCAGAGGGGTCGCCAAACACCATCAGAAAAATGATATTTTTTGTTGGTCTTTGGGGTTCTGTGTGGGAAGCTGGGCCCAATTCTATGGTTGGTGGGGTTCTGAATGCTCTTTGATTGTAGGTGAACTGTAACTCCCAGCAACTACAACTCCCAAATGACAAAATCAATTTTTTTGAGTGAAGGACATTATGGGTTATTAGGTGTCTTGTGTCCAAATTTGGTGTCAATTCGTCAAGTGGTTTTTGAGTTCTGTTAATCCCACAAATGAACATTACATTTTTATTTATATAGATTTATCATTGGAATCGGTAGCCTATAGCAATTATATTATTAAACTGAAATGTATAGTTTTCATGCCATAAGGTCATTAACCAATCTGAGCAGAAATCCCATTCACTGGCATCCCCTTGCCGATCCCACGACCTACCTTAAGTTTCGATCTGAACTCCCAAATGTCAAGGTCTATTTTCTCCAAACTCCACCAATATTCACTTTTGGGCATATTGAGTATCTGTGCCAAGTTTGCTCCAGACCCCTTATTATTTGAGTCCACAATGCTGTCTGGATGTAGGTGAACTACAACTCCAAAACTCAAGATCAATGCCCACCAAACCCTTCCAGTATTTTCTGTTGGCCATGGGAGTTCTGTGTCCCAATATTGGTTCAATTCCATCATTGGTGGAGTTCAGAATGCTCTTCTGGTGAACTATAAATCCCAGCAACTACAACTCCCAAATGACAAAATCAATATTTTTGAGTGAAAGATATACATTGGGTTTGTGTCCAAATTTGGTGTCCATTCGCCAAGTGGTTTTTGAGTTCTGTTAATCCCACAAACAAACATTACATTTTTATTTATATAGATTGACATAAGAGCCATCAGCTGCCCTTGAATTAGGAAGGAATAATGCTGTTCCTACAGGGCACTTACGTGGATTCACCTCCAGGATGATGGTGCAGTTCGAATAGCCGGATATGCTGGAGGCATTGCAAACATAGGTTCCTGACATATCGGTGGTGAGATTTTTGAGTGTCAAGACCCCTTTCACGTGATCTAGAAGCAAGAAAATACACAAATAGAACAATAGCTTCATATTTCAGCTTTTTAAACCATGGTATGCACACAATAAAGTGCTAATACATCATGCTAATCTATGGTTTGCAATAGCACACACAAGTCATAGGCAGCTTTGGGCATGCGTGCTCCTTCCTCCTATGCTACTTGCTGAGAGAAGGCGTCAAGTTCCTTCACTTCCACTTGTTGTTAACTGTAGCGTCCCATGTTGCTTGTGGCTGGTTAGCATTAACTGTTGCTGATTTCAGCAAGCCATATTCGGAACTTTCATGTTTCATGTTGAATTGTATGACTTTAATTATATGTTAATGTTTTAACTATATTTTATGTAGTTGGGGGCATTGAATTATGCCGTTTGTAAACCGCCTTGAGTCGCCTTTGGGCTGAGAAAGGCAGTATATAAATATGGTAAATAAATAAATAAATAAATAAATACATACATACACACATACATACATACATACATACACTTTATGTCCACAAGTATATCCCAAATCAGATGACATAACAAAACATGTCTAAGGAACATTGGCAATTGTCAGAGCTTAAGAAAAATAGTCTTTTGACTATGTGTCGTCTAAGACTTTCATGGCCGGAATCAATGGGTTGTTGGCAGTTTCTGAACTGTATGGCCATGTTCCAGAAGCATTCTCTCCTGACGTTTTGCCCACATCTATGCCAGGCATCTTCAGAGGTTTTCTGAGGTTATGAGTTTCCAAAAGATGGTTTCTTCCATCGTGGTCATTCTACAAATATATAAACCTCACTTGCCTAGTTTCCAACAGACTTCACAACCTCTGAGGATGCCTGCCATAGATGTGAGTGAAACGTCAGGAGAACATGCTTCTGGAACATGGCCATACAGCCCGGAAAACTCACACCAACCCAGTCTTTTGACTATAATATTTTGGCTAGCATGGCCAATCTCTCCAACAGCCATGTTGGATGAGGGATTCTGGAATTTGTAGTCTTAACAAGTCCAACCATCATGCTGGCTCAGAGATGCTGAAAGTCTAAAAATGTACTATGATATTTCCATCTCAGGAAATAGATAACCCAACTTCACATCTGACTGTTTTTACTAGATATGGACCAGATCTATATTTGTACAGAGCAAAGCATGGATTATTTACTATGCAGCTAAGGCCCTGGAACATCCATCTTAAAGAGAACACCAGCCTGCTAATGGGAAGATGGATTGTGGGAAATATATATACTACACCGCTTTCCAAAGGTAGCACTGAAAGAATTGTGTGTCTAAATGAATGTCTTGTGTTTTGGACACACATCTATCCCCCTGTCCCACTTTATATCTTTTAAGGGAAGCCTCCAGGCTTAAGTCTCAGACATAGTCAAGGATGGGTTACTGTGAGTTTTCCAGGCTGTACATCCCTGTTCTGGAAGCATTCTCTCCTGACGTTTCACCCACATCTATGGCAGGCATCCTCAGAGGTTGTGAGGTCTGTTGGAAACTAGGCAAGAGAAGTTTATATATCTGTGGAATGTCCAGGATGGAAGAAAGAACTCTTGTCTGTTGGGGGTAAGTGTGGAGGCAGAAAGCAGTCAGGCTTTGAAGCTGCAAGGCCATTCAATGCTAATCAAGGTGGCCAATTACAACACTCACACTTGTCTCCAACAGACAAGCGTTCTTTCTCCCAACCTGGACATTCGACAGATATATAAACCTCCCTTGCCTAATTGCCAACAGACCTTACATCCTCTGAAGGTTTCCTGCTATAGATGTGGTGAAACATCAAGAGAGAATGCTTCTGAATCATGGCCATACAGCCTGGAAAACTCATAGCAACTAAGTGATTCCAGCCATGAAAGCTTTCGACAACACATAGTTAGGGATATTTCCAGTTATACCTGAGCATATTCTTCTCCTACCTTGTACAGGTGCATAGAAGACCTGTGAGTTGGGGCCAGTGCGCTGCCAACGGTAAGAGGGGGCTGGTTTGCCCACAATGGAGCGGCAGGTCATGGTGATATTCCCTCCAGTGTGAGGGCTGCCATGAATCTGACACTTAGGTGATGATGGTGGGACTGCAAAACAAAGAGCAGAAAACAACATAACCTATATTGAGTGGCAGTGGTATAGTGGAACATTTTTGCGTTCAGTTTCCAACCCAGTCATGCCCAAGTGATGTTTATTACCATCATTGTCATTGTCATCACTTTTTCCCAAGTTTGAAACTGAAGGCAGCTTACAACAGATATTTTTTAAAAGTATCATTTAAAATCCACAAAATACAGAAGTATAAAAGTGATCGAATTATAAAATAACTAAATGACTATACTTACAAATATGAATCATAAAAATGGCAATAGTCCATAAGGAAACATTATTAAATGGACCTTTTAGGAAAATGGTTTCAACTTAGGTTAAAGTCAACTTTTTGTTTCTTAATTTTAATATACAATTCTTATGGAACGAATATATATTATACCACAAAGGTTTAGATGGAAGTCACCAGGACATTTTTTTCTTTTTTTCTCTTTTTTAATTATTTTCTCTCTTTTATTATTTCTTACTTTCTCCTCATATTATTGTTCCACCACTTTACATGCAAAAACAAAATACTATTCTTTTTCCTCCCCCTTCCAGAACATTATACAAGATGTGTACCACCTAAGCAATCTGTCCTCAAAAGAGAAGTCTTTGGGTTACTTTCCTGTAGTCCAGTGGTTCCCAACCTTCTTTTGGCCAGTGACCACCGTCCAACATTACTTCTGAAAGATTCAGTTTTTGGTCAACTTTAGATTCAGTTTGGTTATTTGGAGTGCTGATTCAGAAAACTGGATAGACCACATCAGCTCTAGTTTCTGATACAGAACATATGCCATCCAGTAGTCGCCATCTGCTCACCCACAGAAAACTATATGTAATAATCTATTATTATTATTATTATTATTATTATTATTATTATTATTATTATTATCTTTATTTATACCCCGCTAACATCTTCCGAAGGACTCGGTGCGGCTTACAAAGACCAAGGCCCACAATAAAACAACAGCATAACAAATACAACAATAAAACTCATAAAGCAAAACTAAAACATTAAAGCAATAATAATAAACATAAAAAACACCATGATGCATTTACGAACTAGGCCGGGCCAAATGTAATGAATAAAATTTAAACGTGCTGGACATGACAGGTGGAGTGTAAGGTTTTTAGAGGTAAGAGCGGTGTGCAGACAATCTTAAATCTCTAATAAAGTGCATTTGGGACATGATGCTAGGAGTTTCCTATTCTGGAAAAGCACACTGGAACAGCCAGGTCTTCAAGCTCTTCCTAAAGACTGCCAACGTTGGGGCTTGTCTGATATCCTTGGGGAGAGAGTTCCCGATTCAGGGGGCTACCACAGAGAAGGCCCTGTCCCTCGTCCCCACCAAACTTGAGACGCAGGTGGAATCGTGAGCAGAGCTGATGTGCCCCATCCAATGCAATTTTCTGAATCAGCACCTCAAATAACCCCAGGAACAGGAACATCAATGCACCATCACTTCCAGGTGCCACATGGAATGGCTCTGCTCAGGAGGAGCGTGGAGGATGATGAGGAGGTTTGTTGTCATGCCTTTAGTGGGTAGTCAGCCTCTCCTCTCCCGACATTCCCATTGCCTTGTAACTATAAGAGGGTTTCGCGAGACCAGTCGCTCTTGTTGCAATGGTTTAGTAACGGTGAGTCTGCACTGCAGACCATATTTTAGTTCTTGGAGATCACTGGTGATCACTTGGATCACTTGGAGATCCACGGACCACAGGTTGGAAATCACTGCTGTAGTCTAACCTCTTTCAGAAGGGAGCTACAGAGGTTCAGAGCACCAGATAGAAGGGTTTCCCCAGCAGATCTCAAAGCACAGGCATGTTGGAAAGGAAGAATTTGGTCCTTCAAAGAACCTGGAGTTGAGCTGTATACATTATACATAGTTGCAAAGAATATTCTCATATTGTCAAAGGCTTTCATGGCCAGAATCATTGAGTAGGTTTTTCAGGCTGTATGGCCATGTTCTAGAAGCATTCTCTCCTGACGTTTCACCTGCATCTATGGCAGGCATCCTCAGAGGTTGTAAGGTCTGTCCTCAGAGGTTGTGAGATGTCACAACTTCTGAGGATGCCTGCCATAAATGTGAGCGAAACTTCGGGAGAGAATGCTTCTAGAACATGGCCATACAGCCCGAAAAATCTACAACAACCCAATATTCTTGTAGGTAAAATGTGAAATTGGAATCAGTTCTATCTGCATTTTGTAATTTCTTATATCTGCATTAAAATCCATTACATGTATCTTTGAGGGTGATGAGACAGAGAGAAGGGTCTCTCTAGTAGATCTCAAAATACATGTCAAAACATGTAATGCAAACAGAAGTATTGATACTTCTTCAGGAATCAATTTAAGCAGTTTCCATCAAGATTTTTTGTTAACCTAATATATCTAAATTGCTCTTTGTAGAACATACAGTCATGCAGATTTTTTGGATGAAAACAAAGATATATCTATCTATTCTTCTTGTTGAAAAAATGGGAGATGACAGATAATATTATAATCCTTGCCAATCTGCAAGTCCTCACATCATGGAGTAGTCTATAACCCCAGTTTGAACATGAACAAAATTTAGTGAGAACCTGCAGAAAAACAACAGTGATAGCTACACAGAAGGGGTGATAGAATATTCACCATTATTCATTCTCTGGTTGAAAAATAAACAGGAAAACTGGTCGAGAAAAATAACATAGAGGTGTGAGTTCTACAGTTTTTGATCAGCATTCACATCTGCTATTGTGTTTCCATATGGGAATACATGGGGTTGTATTTTTTCCAGCAATAGGTTTTATGCCAAACACAGGTTTTGAGGGTTTTTCCATAAAAACATATGTTTGAAAAAAATGCATTTCTGTATATTTTGGGTATACGTGAACACCAATCAAGAATTGCATGGAATTTTTTTTTTCCCATATAGTCGGAAGAGAGCTACAGAAATTAGTCATCCTTGTACATCAAGATTCACAAGGAGCCTTTGGTGCCGGCAGGACCACTGATCGAAATGCCAGTGGTTCATATCCGGGGAGTGGGATGAGCTCCTGTCTTTCAGCTCCAGCTTCTCACATTGAGACATAAAAGAAGCTTCCCACGGGATGTTAAAACATCCAAGCATCCCAAGCAATGTCCTTGCAGATGGCCAATTCTCTCACTCTTGACACACACACAAAATCAAAGATTCACAACCCTACCACACAGATGAGGCCTAAGATTGTGGCTTATTGGTATTTAATGGGGTCTAGAGAAAGTTTTTACACAGCAAAGCAGATTCCATAGCTGAAAAGATCTGAAAACCTGAGCAACATAGCAAAGTCCAATTGGTGTGTGTGTTTCAGGTGCAAAATAGTGACATGGAAACATTTGAAACTCATCTTTTCGTACAGAAAGCAGGCTCGTAAATAATGACTCGCCTAGTTGCCTTGGGGGATCCGGAATTGCCTCCAAGCCCAGGTTGTCCAAACCAGAAGTGAACTGAGGCCAAATTTACCTAGAACGGTGAGGTTCACAAGTCCTGTGTTTTTCCCCATCTTGGTAGTATCTCCCGCAACATTCACTGTGCACATGTACTGGCCAGAGTCTGTTTCTTTGGTATCATTGATGGCAAGCGAGACATTGTGAAAAGGCATGGGGTACAAAAAGTTCAGCCGTCGCTTGAGATCCATGTCTTCCACTTTGGTTGTTCCAGACATATACACCAAGATCTGAAAGACAAATGAAAGGAATCATAAACCATAAAAATAAACCAGTGATCAAAACACCATGGCCTGAATGCTATTTTCTAGTCCCACTCAGAGTAGACACATTCAATCAAATGCAAAATAGCAAAATAATACTAGCATTGCCATGTTGTCTATGTAGAGATGAGAGGCAGTAGAAATTCATGACATCACGAAGGGGCAATTAACAAGTTTGTGTTCTGCCTGCAACAAAGAACTGGTGGGATTACAAGCCGGAAAAAGTTACAGAGAATGAACATGTCAAGCTACTTTGGGACTTCCGAATTCAGACAGAGTTTTGGAGCACAATACTCCTGACCTCACGATTGTGTTAACAAACAAAGTATGGATTGTCGATGTTGCAATCCCAGGTGACAGCAAGTGTTGTGAGTCAGCGTCTGTCTCCTGTACCTACTAGTAGTAGTAGAAGGAAACGTGGTTTAGAAGATGAGGAAGCTCAGCAACAGCTGAAACGTATTAGAGACTTGTTCTTAGAGACTACGGATGAGGAAGATTTTGAGGGTTTTACTCGCGAGGAAATGGAGCTGGAAGATTACCGCGGTGTAAAGCCAGTAGCAAGCAGCTCGGATAGTGATGTGGGATCTGTTGTGAAACGCCTTAGAGATGTAGCTGATTGTGAGGACTTTGACAGCGAAGAGGAAGAGCTGGATTGGACTAAAGTTCAGGAAGTATTAGATGTGGTTAATGCTCCCACGTCTAGCGATGAATTCCAGGGTTTTAATGATACTTGGGTTCCAGATAATACTTTGCAGGATGCAGCCCGAAGCACAGACTGGCAGCAATGGCGAAGTCGGGATTCACCTGTGGAGGCAGACGCACCTGAAAGTAACTCCAGTGACTCGGATGAGATTTAAGGAGCAGTTTGGGAACAAACTAATCGCAGAGTTCAAAGTGTCGCGTTACCGTGTGCCTTGTGTTTAACTTCTGCCCTGAGCTCTTGTTTGCAGCTTCGTGGACTCCTGATCGTGTGAGCAATCTTGCCGGACCTGGACTTGTGAGTCTTCCTTGCCTTGACCCTCGGACTGCCTGACTACGCCTCTGCTAATCCCCTGGTGACTTCGTTGGACCGCTCTTCATGCAGATTGCTGTTTGCTGTTTTGTTTGGCTTTGGAATGAACTGAGTTTTTACTGCTGAATTGAAGCTGTTTTGCCTGCGTTTGGACTTGCTTTCCTTTTGCCAGCGAGGACTGACTGGGACTTGGTTTGTTTACATTCTTGCTGACCTCAAGCCTTTTGTGTTTATAGCTCTGACTTTAAGAGCCTCCTTTTGTTGTGTTAATAGACATTAAAGACCTTTGTTTAACTCCTTCACTGCCGTTTTGCTTGCTGGTCCGTCTGGGTCTTGACAGCAGGATTGAAGAGAACCAACTGGAAAAGCTGACACAATATGAGGATTTAAAATCATAGAATCAAAGAGTTGGAAGAAACCTCATGGGCCATCCAGTCCAACCCCCTGCCAAGAAGCAGGAATATTGCATTCAAAGCACCCCTGACAGATGGCCTTCCAGCCTCTGTTTAAAAGCCTCCAAAGAAGGAGCCTCCACCACACTCCGGGGCAGAGAGTTCCACTGCTGAACGGCTCTCACAGTCAGGAAGTTCTTCCTCATGTTCAGATGGAATCTCCTCTCTTGTAGTTTGAAGCCATTGTTCCACATCCTAATCTCCAGGGAAGCAGAAAACAAGCTTGTTCCCTCCTCCCTGTGGCTTCCTCTCACATATTTATACATGGCTATCATATCCCCTCTCAGCCTTCTCTTCTTCAGGCTAAACATGCCCAGCTCCTTAAGCTGCTCCTCATAGGGCTTGTTCTCCAGACCCTTGATGGTTTTAGTCGCCCTCCTCTGGACACATTCCAGCTTGTCAATATCTCTCCTCAACTGTGGTGCCCAGAATTGGACACAATATTCCAGGTGTGGTCTAACCAAAGCGGAATAGAGGGGTAGCATGACTTCCTTAGATCTAGACACTATGCTCCTATTGATGCAGGCCAAAATCCCATTGGCTTTTTTTGCCGCCACATCACATTGTTGGCTCATGTTTAACTTGTTGTCCACGAGGACTCCAAGATCTTTTTCACACGTACTGCTCTCAAGCCAGGCATTGTCCCCCATTCTGTATCTTTGCATTTCGTTTTTGCTGCCAAAGTGGAGTCTCTTGCATTTGTCACTGTTCAACTTCATTTTGTTAGTTTTGGCCCATCTCTCTAATCTCTCCTTAGGACCATTGTTTAGTATATTACCCTAGAGCAGCGGTTCTCAACCTTCCTAATGCCACGACCCCTTAATGCAGTTCCTCCTGTTGTGGTGACCCCCAATCATAAAATTATTTCTGTTGCTACTTCATAACTGTAATTCTGCTATCATTATGAATCATATTGTAAATATCTGATATGCAGGATATATTCTCATTCACTGGATCAAATTTGGCACAAGTACCCAATACATCCAGATTTTAATACTGGTAGGGTTGCAGGGAGGTGTAGTTCCTGGGATTTATAGTTAAGCTACACTCAAAGAGCATTTTGAAGTTCAGCAATGATGGAATTGAACCAAACTTGGCACACAAAACTCCCAAGACCAAGAGAAAATACTGGAAGTGTTTGATGGGTCTTGAGTTTTGAAGTTGTAGTTCACCTCCATCCAGAGAGCTCTGTGGACTCAAAAAACAAAAAAATAGATGGATCAGGACCAAACTTGGCATGAATACTCAATATGCCCAAATGTGAACACTGTTGGAGTTTGGGGAAAATAGACCTTGACATTTGGGAGTTGTAGTTACTGGGATTTATAGTTCACCTACAATCAAAGAGCATTCCGAACTCCACCAATGATAGAATTGGGCCAAACTTCCCACACAGAACCCCAATGACCAAAAGAAAATACTGTGTTTCCTTGTAGTCTTTGGCGACCCCTCTAACACCCCTCATGACCCTCTCAGGGGTCCCAACCCCCAGGTTGAGAAACACTACCTTAGAGTATCAGAGGCTATGTACTTTCCATAGGAGTTGCTGGGGAACTGAAGTGGGAATGGTTTTCAAATAAATAAAGTGATTGCTGAGCTTGACAGGACTGTGGTCTGATCATTCATGGCTTTCCTTATGTCCTTCTCTAGGTTAAACAGCCTCTCGGTGCTGATCTAATCCGACATCCTATTTAGCCCTGTTTAGATCATGACGGTGATTATATTCATTTATCTCCTGCTTTCCCCCCAAACCTTCTACTCAGATTAAAGGGGCTGAAAGGGACGAAGATTAAACAATGATACAGCTTTTAAATTAATATTAACCATGTTGTTGTTATTGTTGTGGTTAATATCATCCTCATCCAATCCTTCCCCCCAATAATGGAACTCAAGGCAGGCAATAACACCGGGACTATGGCGCAGCTGGTTGGGAGTCAGCTGCATTAAGATCACTACTGACCAAGAGGTCATGAATTCAAAGCCGGCCTGGGTCAGAGTGAGCTTCCGACCAATTTGTGTACCTTGCTGTCGACCTTTGCAGCCCGAAAGACTTGCATTTGTCAAGTAGGAAATTTAGGTACCGCTTATGCAGGGAGGCTCATTTACGATGCCATAAAAATCTCCAGCAAGCATGCAAAGAATGAGGAAGTACTTCATCAGTGTCACAAATGGTTGGCAAGGGACAGCTTCCCTGGTGGCCAGAATACCCTCATGAAAAAACTGGAATGTTAAATAGCCTCTGTGTGTCTGTCTATATATGTTGTGTGTGTCTATGGCATTCAATGTTTGCCATGTATATGTACATTGTAATCCGCCCTGAGTCTCCTACTCTAAATAAACATATTTAAAATCAATATTAATTTTTAAAATCTACCAAAAATTCAATTAAATTATAATACAAGTTGTTTTACAAAACAGCTAATGCTTTTTTAGAGTTAACAACAATTAGAAGACCAACTACACACCCTAAAAAAAACCCCACACAACATCGAAAACCCATCCCAGGTAGTTTTTAACAGCCTGGTGATGTAAAAATGTTTTCACTTGCCAACAGAAGACGAGCAAGGACTGGGAAATCTCCCCCTTCAGACTCACTGCCTTTCAAGCAAGCCAAGTGAAAGACAATCTGATGATTCAGTTCTACTCTCATTATTCGGGAAACAAATTAATAGCCAGTAAGACATTATTTTTAAGGGCCGCGGTGGCACAGTGGGCTAAACCACGGAGCAGTGGAACTTGTTGACTGGAAGGTTGGTGGTTCGAATCTGTGGGACGAGGTGAGTTCCCATTGCTAGCCCCAGCTTCTGTCAACCTACCAGTTCGAAGACATGCAAATGTGAGTAGATCAATGGGTACTGCCTCTGTGGGAAGGCAATGGCACTCCATGCAGTCATGCAGGCCACATGACCTAGGAGGTGTCTGCAGACAATGCCAGCTTTTTGGCTTAGAAATGGATATGAGCACCATCTCTCAGAGTCAGACACAACTAGACTTAAGGTTGAGAGGAAACCTTTAACTTTACCTTTAATACATTGTTTTAAATGACTTCCTTTCCATTTCTAGAGGAGACTGAAAGAATCCCTCCCTCGCCACCTTTCCAGTGTTGCTGGACTACACCTCCCATCAGTCCTATCCTGGATAGCCAAACCTGAGGGATGATGAGAGATGGAATCCTGTATTTATTTATTTATTTATTTGTTTGTTTGTTTGTTTATTTATTTTCTGCATTTGTAACTTGCCCTTCTCACCCCTGAGAGGGGGACTCAGTGCGGCCTCGCAGCAAACACCATCCGGTGCTATCACAATTGTAAACATTCAACAATACCATTAAAAGCATTGAACAGTAAATTTAAAAACTATTAATTTTAAAACATCAGTTAAATGATCGATTACAACATGCCAATTAAAATATGAATCCAGGTCTGGGTCAATTCATTGCTCCCTATAGTTTGCTCCAATAAGGAGCCTGGCTGCTGCCCGTTGTACCAGTTCAAACTTCCGGGCTGTCTTCAAGGGCAGCCCCACATAGAGCGCATTGCAACAGTCCAGTTTGAATGTAACCATGCCAGAGATTGTAGCCAGAGATTAATAAAAACTATTTTCCAAATTGGGAGAATTGGAAGTCATGTAGTAAAGTCAGTCAGTTCCTCTGGTCCATGAGAAAGAAAATTACAATAACCTCTTTCTCCATCACTAGTATGAAAGTAACAATGAAGTAAATAATTGTGTGATAGCTTTTCATGACACTCCAGAACTGCTATCTGTGTTGGTTGCCTGGTGAAGAGCACGCAGGCATGTAGCCGGGGGGGGGGGGGCTTGAGGGGCTTCAGCCCCCCCCCCCCCAAATTCTCATGGTGGTCCGCGAAAAGGCCTTACTGGTGCATTATTTAAACTGTTATGTTTATTCATATCATGATCTGATCACCATACTCAATATATCCCATATGCATGGGGGTATTGGGGTAATGATACAAAAGGTTTGCTAGGGTAGACCCTCTTTCACTCAGACTCAGCCCCCCCCCCGAAACTCAGCCCCCCCCGAAACCCCCCCTGAAAAAAATTCAGCCCCCCCCCCCGAAACGAAATCCTGGCTATGGGCCTGAGAGCACGTATGTGCATTTGTATACATTCGTGTACATAAGTACTTCTAGCTTGACGACAGATTCTGTTTTGGATTCTATCTGTATTTTTTTTTAACTTTTGAACGTCTTTGAATTTTATCCACTCACCCAGCTGTAAAAGCAAGGGTGGGGGGGGGATGCTATTGCTATGAATCTTTGGGGCCTGAATGCATTACAGGCTGCAAAGTGCTTTAAGATATGCTCAGTGCTCCCCTGCACGCTAGTGGGCAAAGACAACAACATAGATAGCTGGACTCCAGATAGCAGAGTGCATTTGGATTCCTGGAGCAGGTTCTCTTAGAAATACGAGGGTTGAATGAAAAGTAATGCCTCCACCTTCGTTACTTGGGTTTGGAGGGGAATATTTTAATAAATCAAGCGCAGAAATAATCCTTAGAATGTGATCTTTAACTACCACTATTCACTTTTCCACATAATCACCAGACAATTGGATACATTTCTGCCAATGATGAACAAGTTTTCTGAAGCCTTCACGGAAGAAGTCGACACTCTGTTTCCGCAACCAGCGTCTCACAGTTCTCTCAACGTCTTCATCAGAAGCATAATGATGTCCCCACAGATCTTTCATTATTGGGAACAGATGGAAGTCAGGCGGTGCTAAATCTAGACTGTATGGAGGTTGTCGTACAGTGGCGAGATCCAGTCTCTGAAGTTTCAAGTCTGCACTTTCATTTCACGTGTCAGCATCCTGGGTATCCATTGTGCACAGATCTTCTGATAGCCAAGCAAAGCAATAATGTGACCCACACATTCTTGTGAAATGCTGATTATGCTTGAAATATGATGATTGTCCTGAATCAATCTGTCAACCTTTTGCTTGTGAAACTTGGTGGTTGCTGCCACAGGACACCCAATTCTTTGTTTGCCATGCAAGCCAGATGTTCCCACTGCCTCTGCCTTCGTAACCCCTCAACAGATGGCTGTACTGGTATGCAGCAGGTACTGGCTTGTTCAGTAGACTCTCCTCTACAGTTCCATTTTGGTGGAAAGCCTTAGCATTACACAGTTGTGTTGTTAAAGTGTGAAGTATGAAACCCTGCACAGACGGTTGGTCAATGCAACTTAAGCAACATGCAGTCATTGAATTCTTGACAGCAGAAGGTGTCACCCCAAAGGAGATTCATCAGAGAATACAAACAGTTTATAGTGATTGTGTTGATGTGAGTACTGTGCGCAGTTGGGCAAGTAAGTTTAAAGATGTTGAGGTGAGAACATCTGACTTGCGTGACAAACAAAGAGTTGGACGTCCTGTGACAGCAACCACCGAGTTTCACAAGCAAAAGATTGACGGATTGATTCAGGGCAATTGTAGTATCACTCAGAGAGAATTTTAAAGCATAATTGGCATTTCACAAGAACGTGTGGATCACATTATTGCTTTGCTTGGCTATCAGAAGATCTGTGCACTATGCGTTGTGGAAATAAGAGTGTCGACTTCTTCCATGACGGCTTCAGAAAACTTGTTCATCATTGGCAGAAATGTATCCAATTGTCTGGTGATTATGTTGAAAAGTGAATAGTGGTAGTTAAAGATCACATTCTAAGGATTATTTCTGCGCTTGATTTATTAAAATATTCCCATCCAAACCCAAGTAACGAAGGTGGAGGCATTACTTTTCATTCAACCCTCGTACCATGTGCTGCATAAAACTTATCTTATAGCAGAAATTGTGTGCCAGTGCTTGGCACCAAGAAGAGCTCTTCAGAAGGCTTGGAATTACATCCCATTCTGGCAAGCAAGAGTGAGGCACTAAGGCTCCCTAGCAGAGAATTCTCAGAATTTTTCCTCAAACAGCAAATCCCACTATTCCATAGGAAGGAATGTTTCTATGGTAGTTAAAGTGAAAACATAGTGCTATAATTATGTAATGTAAAAAGGGTCTCAGTGAATTCCACTTGGGAAAGGAAGAGCAGGAGCCAGTGGGGAATAGACGTTTGGGTGTAGGACTAGGATTCTAGAGACCATGGTTCAAATCCATGGTTCAACCATGGAAACTCAAAGGATGACTGTTCTGTCACGCGCTGGGCCTGTAAAGAATTGCTTTTAAAATAGGACATGCAACTTGAGCCTAGCAGTAAGCCAGGATCCCCCGAAGAGAAGTTCTCAAGGATTTTCCACCACAAATGGTCGTTTGATGGCTTGTGAAGTATAACAAAGTCCTTTATTAATTAACAATCAAACAGAAACTTCTCTTGTCTTCAATAAAGTTAAACAAATACTTCCAGGCCTTTATGCAACTGGTGGCTTCCTAATCATGTCCACGAGGGACAGGCAATTGTCTTCAATAACTGTTTCTTTACTTTAAGGAAAATCCCYTYTTAACTTCTCCCAGGCTGACTGTAATCTAAKYCTTACTGATGTGGGCTCYGMTACYGGGTCGAACTGYSTCTCGAGCACYGAGTGGACCTACCARTAAGGCCAGTAGATTCTCCAGCTGGAGTTCTTTGGTCTTCCAAACTGTTTACCCTCCGAAATTCCTCAAAGCTTTAGGGCTGTTTCCCTGGAAATCTTTGGAAATCTTTGGATGCTCTTAAGACTGTTCTCCCCCGGAAAGTCTTAAGAATTGAAGCTTTTGGACAGGAGAAGCTTGTACACGTCCTCTAAATTAGCTTTCCTTACTGAGACTAACTAAAAATGGCCCCCTTCCCTTCCCAATTGCCCTGAACAAGGGGCGGAACCTAAACTTAACGATGATGGACACGTGACTTGCCCTACAACTGCAACCAAAGGAAGCCACTTTTCTGCAGAATCCCTGAAACTTTGGACTGCAAGCAAACATTTAATACAAAGCAAAAAAAGTTGGAGCTCCTGGTACAGCCATACCAGCACAATGACCTTGGGCAAGTCAGGTCCTAAGCCTCAAAGAAAGGTAATGGCACTCTTCCTATGAACATATCTTCCCAAGAAAACACTGTGATATGTTCTCCATATGTGAGAAAATGACAACAACGAAGGGCAAAGCCAACCCTCAGATTTAGCAAGGAGGACAAAAGCATGAAGATGACAGTACCATGGTGATTTTTTTTTTTTGTCATGCCAGGAGCGACTTGAGAAACTGCAAGTCACTTATGGTGTGAGAGAATTGGCCGTCTGCAAGGAAATTGCCCAGGGGACGCCCGGATGATTTTGATGTTTTTATCACCCTTGTGGGAGGCTTCTCTCATATCCCTGCTTGGGGAGCTGGAGCTGACAGAGGGAGCTCATCCGCCTCTCCCCAGATTCGAACCTGTGGCCTGTCGGTCTTCAGTCCTGCTGGCACAGAGGTTTAACCCACTGCGCCACTGAGGGCTCCACTACTATGGTGATATCATTGTGAAATTCAGCCCACCAAATGGTTTGCACTCTCCACTTTGCTGATCTAGCTGCGTTGGCTACAGGAATCGGATTCTTATTCAGAGTGGACCAATGCGATCTGAAGCTTAGCACAATTTTCCAACCCTCAGTGAAATTCTGTCTGGGATTTTACCTGAAAGGGATGAGGATTCCCTGGCCTTTCCAGGTGCCACGTAACATAGGGCTCACTGCTGCTGTGTGTTGTATACGAGACCGGCAGAATGGCCCGCTGTCCTTGGATCACAGTCACTGAGCTGCGGCCGACTTCCACTTCCAACACAGCAGATGACAGACCTGCAAAGGGTGAGAGAGAATGGAGTCAATTCCTCTTCAGTCATTAAGATCTGTGGACTTTTCCTCCAATATTTCTATGCCAACTCAGTTATAAAGAAAACTATTGATACTATAAGGTAGGTAAAGGAAGGTAGTCCCCTGACATTAAGTCCAGTCATGTCTGACTCTGGGGTGTGGTGCTCATCTCCATTTCTAAGCCGAAGAGCCAGCGTTGTCCGTAGACACCTCCAAGGTCATGTGGCCGGCATGACTGCATGGAGCGCCGTTACCTTCCCGCCGGAGCGGTACCTATTGATCTACTCACATTTGCATGTTTTCGAACTGCTAGGTTGGCAGAAGCTAGGGCTGACAGCGGAAGCTCACGCCGCTCCCCGGAATCGAACCTGCGACCTTTCGATCAACAAGCTCAGCAGCTCAGTGCTTTAACCCACTGCACCACCGGGGGCTTGTCCATATTATCAAGAGAGGAGCTGAATTTGTCATCTGTTTTAATACACTATACGTGCTTAGACAAACCAGTTTTAAAACAGATGTATGTAAGGACATTTCGAATCCGGGGAGAGGCGGATGAGCTCCCTCTATCAGCTCCAGCACCTCATGCGGGGACCTGAGAGAAGCCTCCCACAAGGATGATAAAAACATCAAATCATCCGGGCGTCCCCTGGGCAACATCCTTGCAGACGGCCAATTCTCTCACACCAGAAGTGACTTGCAGTTTCTCAAGTCGCTCCTGACACGACAAAAATAAAATAAAATAAACATAAGGACATAATTATTCACCACTTTAACGCTTCCACACAAGAAGGAAGTCTTTAGATTAGAATTTTATTTTATTTTATTTACAGTACTAGCCATCCCCTGTCACGCGTTGCTGTAGCCCAGTCTGTGTATATGTGTTCTGTGTGTATATATATATGTGTATATGTGTGTGTATATATTTGTGTATATGTGCATATATGTATGTTTGTGTATATATGTGGTTTTGCGCATGTGCTGTAATGTATTTTTGGGGGGTTTTCTGGCTTTTTATGTCTTTTCTGCTGTGTTTTTCAGTGTTTTTATGAGTGATGGTCACTCCTTGGCCTGATGGGTGTACTGTGTCCAAATTTGGTGTCAATTCGTCCAGTGGTTTTTGAGTTGTGTTAATCCCACAAACGAACATTATATTTTTATTTATATAGATTTATATTCTGCCCTTCTCATCCTGAGGGGGATTCAAGTAGATCACAGAACACATATATGACAAACATTCAATGTCATCATACAGTGACAAGACAATTATCCATAAATAGAGATATGTAGGTTTTCCCATGAGCTTCTGGGTGAAAAAGGAATGGGATATGCACAAGTGAACCATTTGATACTACATAATTTGTACCAGCAGGAAGGGATTTTCAATGTCTAGCTTCCCTTGATTCATATTTCTCACAATCCATGTTTCTATAATATGTGCCCGGAGCCCCCAGTGGCAGAGTGGGTTAAAATGCTGAGCTGCTGAACTTGCTGACCGAAAGGATGCAGGTTCGAATTCAGGGAGCAATGTGAGCCCCAGCTTCTGCCAACCTAGCAGTTCAAAAACATGCAAATGTGAGTAGATCAAGAGGTACCACTCCATTGGGAAGGTAATGGCTCTCCATTACCTTCCCATGCCGGCCACATGACCTTGGGGGTGTCTACGGACAACGCCGGCTCTTTGGCTTAGAAATGGAGATGAGCACCAACCTCCAGATTTGGAAATGACTGGACAATGCCAGGGGAAAACCTTTAATTTTACCCTAACTTGTACCAGAACACATGAAAAATAAATGAAATGGCCCAATGGAGAGGTAGCTCAACTATCATATTTTCCCTCCATGTGTTAGGTGCTGCTGCCTCCCCTTTTCGTGTCTGTTTGTGGAGCTTTGTTTTGATGTTAAGTTTTGTTTTGTATGTCAGAAGCATTAAGGAAAGGCATTTCTTGCCTGTGAAGGTACACACCTTGCTCTCAACTCAGGATCCTAGCAACTCATTCCATTATATGCATAGCATACAAAAGCGTGCCATACAAACATGTTCACGTACCAGGAATCATGGTTTTTCATTATATTTTAATCAGATCGAAACGTAAGGTAGATCGTGGGGTCGGCAAGGGGATGCCAATGAATGGGATTTCTACTCAGATTGGTTAATGACCCTTATGGCATTAAAAATTATACATTTCAGTTTAATAATATAATTGCTATAGTCTCCCAATTCCAATGCTAAATCTATATAAATAAAAATGTAATGTTCGTTTGTGCTATTCACAGAACTCAAAAACCACTGGGGCAATTGGCACCAAATTTGGACACAAGACACCTAAAAGTCCAATTTATGTTCTCCACTAAAAAAAAAAATGATTTTTTTCATTTGGGAGTTGTAGTTGCTGGGATTTATAGTTCACCTACAATCAAAGAGCATTCTGAATTCCAGCAACAATAGAATTGGACCAAACTTGGCACACATGTTGTTCATGGGAACAACAGAAAATATTGGAAGTCTTTGGTGGGCAGTGTCCTTTGCTTTTGGAGTTGTAGTTCACCTACATCCAGAGCTCACTGTGGACTCAAACAATGATGGATCTGGACCAAACTCTACACGAATACTCAATATGCCCAAATGTGGACACTGGTGGAGTTTGGGGGAGATAGAATCTTGACATTTGGGAGTTGTAGTTCACCTACAATCACAGAGCATTCTGAACCCCACCAACGATAGAATTGGGCCAAACCTCCCACACAGAACCCCCATGTGGGCCACAGCAATGCGTGGCAGGGGACGGCTAGTCTATATAAATAAAATGTAATGTTCGTTTGTGGGATTAACAGAACTCAAAAACCACTGGACAAATTGACACCAAATTTGGACACAAGACACCTAACAACCCAATGTATGTCCTTCACTCAAAAAAAATTGATTTTGTCATTTGGGAGTTGTAGTTGCTGGGATTTATAGTTCACCTACAATCAAAGAGCATTCTGAACCCCACCAATGATGGAATTGGGCCAAACCTCCCACACAGAACCCCATGTGGGCCACAGCAATGCGTGGCAGGGGATGGCTTGTTGTTGTTCATTCGTTCAGTCGTCTCCGACTCTTCGTGACCTCATGGACCAGCCCACGCCAGAGCTCCCTGTCGGCCGTCACCACCCCCAGCTCCCTCAAGGTCAGTCCAGTCACTTCCAGGATGCCATCCATCCATCTTGCCCTTGGTCGGCCCCTCTTCCTTTTGCCTTCCACTTTCCCCAGCATAATTGTCTTCTCTAGGCTTTCCTGTCTCCTCATGATGTGGCCAAAGTACTTCAACTTTGTCTCTAGTATCTTTCCCTCCAGTGAAATTTGTGTCCAAATTTGGACACAATACACCTATCAGTCCAACAAGTGACCATCATTCATAAAAACACTGAAAAACACAGTGGAAGGAAAAAGCAAAAAAAAAATACATTATAACACATGCGCAAAACCACACATATATACACAAACACACACATATACACAAATATATACACATAGATAAAGGTAAAAGTTTTCCCCTGACATTAAGACCAGTCGTGTCTAACTCTGGAGGTTGGTGCTCATTTCCATATGTGTATAAACACATATGAGTCCCCCTGCGGGGGTTGAGAAGGGCGGGGTACAAATAATTGAAATAAATAAAAAAGAAATATACACAAGTATATACACACATATACACACACAAAACACATATACACAGACTGGGCCACAGCAACACATGTCAGGGGACAGCTAGTACTATATATTTTCCTTCTCTATTTGAAGTGACCCTTTCGCTTTATGCCAGCTTTCCTATGTAACTCTCCGCCCCCGATAAATCAGATTACATCCATTTTTCCAAAAGCAAAGGGGGAGGGGGGGGGGATATTCCATTTTTGGAATGGCATAAACAAATTCTTTCAGTGGAATTTTACCAGTTTGGGGTGGAAACACTGCAGTAGAAACACATTGCACTGGTTAACTCTGTGAAGGTTTGTGTGTATGTGTTCAGCAATCCTTGTAAATGACTGGTAAATACAATTCCTTGCGTGCAACTGATTTGTGAGCAGTTGTCACCTTAGGATACCCGGTGTTGCATGAGGGGGAGCTCATTTTCTTTAAAACTATCAAACTCACGAAAGTGGCATTCCCCCTCTCATTAGTATTTCTATTCCAGGACTGCGAAAGCTGATTAATTAAAAAGCACATGCCAGAAGAGGGCAACTGTACTCTGAACTCTTGAGAGTAGAACATTCTTGTGCCAAAGCAGTTTTACATCACTTATCTGGAAAACAAAAAATAAATTCCGATATCCAGCCCACTCAAAGGTAGAATACCGCACCCAAAAAGAAGGAAAGAAAAGAAAACAAGCAGCTTAAGGACTATGAGAACAGGCTCTGGTTCTGCTTCCACAGTCCCCAAATGCTTCCTAACGTGCTTCACTTTCTCCACAGTGCCTCTTATTAGTAAATTACACCAACGTGGACCTGCATTTTGTGGACCATGGAACAGAAGGGGTAGGATTGTCTGCTGAAATAAAGGACAAAGATAGTACCGTATATAACCCGACCTGAATATAAGCCGAGACACCTAATTTTACGGCAAAAATCTGGGAAAAAAAGATTGACTTGAGTACAAGCCATGGATGGTAAATGCAGCAGCTACTGGTATATCTATATAAATAAAAATGTAATGTTTGTCTGTGGGATTAGCATAACTCAAAAACCGCTGGACGAATTGCCGCCAAATTTGACCACAAAATGCCTACTAACCCAAGGAGTGACCATCACTCAAAAAATTGATTTTGTCATTAGGGTTTTGAAATTGCTGGGATTTATAGTTCACCTTCGATCAAAAAGAATTCTGAACTCCACCAATGATGGAATTGAACCAAACCTGGCACACAGGACTCCCATGACCAACAGAAAATACTAGTGGGCATTGACCTTGAGTTTGGGAGCTGTGGTTCACTTACACCCAGAGAGCAC